CTATTTATAGTTGACTATTCAAATGATTGCTATACAGGGATTTGAGTATAATGATAAACTGCATCCCCACTAAATATGACTACTTGTCATAAATATTGATGAAACATAGTTAACTTTTTAAAAATAAATATTAATACTACTGTTTGATACTAAGGTTTTTATTTTTTCTTAAGACAGAGTCTCACTATGTAGATCAGGCTAGCCTCAAACTCACAGAGATCTGCCAGCCCCTACTTCCTGGTGCCTGCCAGCCTCTACTTCCTGGGTGTTGGCATTAAAGGTGTGCACCACCATGCCCAGCAATACTAGTGTTTTTTAGAAGTCCCCTTTTGCCGGACATGGTGTTATAGGCCTGTCATCCTAGCATTTGGGAGGCTGAAACAAAAAACTCTCAGATTGGAGGCTGTCCTGGGTAAATAATAGTATCCTGTCTTTAAAAAAAAAAAAAAAAAGCCTTTCTTCATCTAAGTACCCCACTAATAGAATGAAATAATATGCTTAAAATAATGGAATAATATGCTTAAAATATCTTCTGTACAGCACCTGGGAAAGTTGCAGACAAAGTTATAATTGAAAACACTAGAGATTCAACTTTCGTCTTTATGGAAGGTTCTGAGGATGCTTATGTTGGATATATGACAATAAGGGTAAGACAGTTTCAGTTTTGAATATTATTTGCAATCAGTAAGGCAGTAGCTATTTATTCTAAATAAAATTTCTACTTTTCAGTTTAACCCTGATGACAAATCTGCTCAACATCATAATGCACACCACTGCTTAGAGATCACAGTAAATTGTAGCCCTATTATTGATCACTGCATCATCCGAAGTACATGTACAGGTTTGTGTTTCCTTTATCTTTTATAGCAAATGGAGTTACTGTGTTGCTGCCCAACAGGTTTTTTTTAATGAATAAATCACCTTTTTTGTAGTCGGCTCTGCAGTATGTGTAAGTGGTCAAGGAGCATGTCCCACTATCAAGCATTGTAACATCAGTGACTGTGAAAATGTTGGACTTTATATAACAGATCATGCACAGGTATTTTTTTTAATTTGGGCTTTGTGTGTGTGTGTGTGTGTGTGTGTGTGTGTGTGTTTTTAACTATACTAATGTTTATTTCTAATTAATTGTAGGGAATATATGAAGATAATGAAATTTCTAATAATGCATTAGCTGGGATTTGGGTTAAAAATCATGGAAATCCAATTATTAGACGGAATCATATTCATCATGGACGTGACGTTGGTGTATTTACATTTGATCATGGCATGGTAAGAAGATTTATCCTTAGCATAAAGTGGGTCTGTCAGTTAACTTTCAAACTTGAGTATCATTTTCTCATCAGCTTATCTGAATTGGCACTGTATTTTAAAATCATAATATTTATTCTATAAATTCGCATGTGAAAAATACATCCAGAAAAACATTACCAGGGTAGAGTTCTTAGAGAAACTGGTGTGATCTTTGAGAGGAATGAGGCCTAATCCAGAAAGTAGGTCTCAGATCTGAGTATGTAAAAGTTTCCTGGAAACCTGTAAGAGTGGCTTGTGGGTAAGTTGTTTGGCTTCGTGCACATGTCAGCATGTGTGAAAATGTCTACCTCAGGTATAAGTAAGGATTTCCAAAAATGAGGCCAAAAACAAGCGTTTTAGTCAACACCAGAGTCTAATGCAAGTTATTTGTAGTGTATACTTTGGTTATAATAGCCTCATTTGTTGTTAGTTTTGTTGTTGTTGTTGTTGTTTTGGGTTTTTTTGTTTTTTGTGTTTTTTGATAGGGAGCAATATTGAGGGTCAAACCTGGGACTTACAGAATACTAGACAAGTGTTCTACCCAACCTCTCATTGTTTGTTTGTTTTTTCAGTTTTATTTTATGTGTATGAGTGTTGTACCAGCATGTATGTAAGTGTACCCCTGTGGAGGACAGTGCCCTCAGAGGACAGAAGAGGACATCAGATCCCCTGGAACTGGAGTTATGGACAGTTGTTAGCCACCATGTGGGTGCTGAGATTTGAACCTGGGTCTTCTGCAAGAACAGCCAGTGCTCTTAATCAATGAGCCATCTCTGTAGCCCCCCCAACCCTTCATTGTTAATTTGATTTCCATTTTATTTTTTAAAAAATTTGGCCGGGCATGGTGGTATATGCCTGTAGTCCCAGCACTTGGGAGGCAGAGGCAGGTGGATCTCTGTGAGTTCGAGACCAGCCTGGTCTACATAGTGAGTTCCAGGCCAGCTGGGGCTACAGGGAGACCCTGTCTCAAAAACACTTAAAAAAAAAAAATTTAAGGTGGATATGGTTATGGTTATGCCTATGTCCTGTAATCCCATCACTTGCGTGGTAGAGGCAGGAGGATCAGGAGTTCAAGGCCAAGCTAGAATGCATGAGAACTGATCTTTTGATGATAAAATATTAGTTCTAAAGCTATTAGGCAGAAATTACTGCTGGCATCCATATGGGTAATATAATTTATTTTAAATCCAGCTATTAATTTTACACAATTTTCTAGAGATAGGACTTTTGGATCTCTCTAAGGTCATTATTTGAAAATAGTGTTCACAGAGAATATATGTAGTGGCACATGTCTGTAATCCCAGCTCTCTGAAGTCAGAAGTAGGAGGATCACAAGGTCCTCCTGAGCTACAAACCAAGTTCCAGGCAGGTCAAGACTACATAATAAACTACAGTAACAAAAAAATAGTATTTGTAGATGTCCATTTGGATAGTATCCTTTTCATTTAGTGCTTGGTTTTCTTTGAGGTAATTTTCAGGTCCTGATACATTGTTGGCAACATATTTTGATGCATGCATCAGAGAAATGAGAGACGGTGGTAACAAATAGGATTATGGTGAGATTTGGTTGCCATTATATGGTATTAAACTACCTGGGAACATTGAATTTATATAGTGATATTGTCAGTGGCAAAGTAAAGTTTTTGTCGTTGCTTGTACCTGGAGACCTAATGGAGATTCCAGATGAACTAGACTATGAGAAGTATTGTTTTATCAAATGCTAACTAGACCCAAGTGGTTTCAGATCAGAAGCTAAATTCATCATACTAACCAGTATTACTATTATAACCTGAGAAACCCAATCCACTTAAAATTCAAGCTGTGGCTTGGGCCTGTGTATTAAACAAGTAAAGTAGAAGCCAAGGTAGAGTGGTGCATATCTATAATCTCAGCACTCAGGAAGAAGAGGGCAGTAGGATCACAATTAAAGGGCTAGCCTGAGCTACAGAACAGGCTGGCCTTGAACTCACAGAGATCCGCCTGCCTCTGTCTCTTGATTGCTGGGATTAAAGGCATGCACCACCATGCCTGGAAAGTGTTAGCTTTTATAAAATCCGATTTTTTTTTTTCTTTTTTGTCTTTTTGAAGCAGGGTCTCCCTGTAGCCCCAGCTGTCCTGGAACTCACTTTGTAGACCAGGCTGGCCTTGAACTCACAGAGATCTGCCTGCCTCTGCCTCCCAAGTGCTGAGACTACAGGCGTGCACCACCACACCTGGCTAAAATACAATTTTTTTAAAAAATGTGGAATGCTTCATGAATTTGCATGTCATCCTTGTGCAGGGCCATGATAATCTTCTCTGTATCCTTCCAGTTTTAGTATATGTGCTGCCAAAGCAAGCACGTAAAATATAATTAAAAGAATAATGTCAAGTTGCTTTAAATTTTTGAAGCATTTATTCCAAGTTTCTGAACTTGTGACAGGTGACTGATTGTTGAGTTGGCTCTCCTCCTTTCATTTCATATCACATTTGATAGAAAACCTGTTTATTTTTATTAGCCTTTATTTTGTGTGTGCATGGTATATGTATGTGGACACATGTGCCATGGTACACATACAAAGGTCAGAGGACAACCTTGTAGAGTCAGGTCTTCAGGCTTGTATAGCAAACACCTTTGCCTGATGAGCCATCTCACTAACCCTATTTTTGTTGTTGGTGGGTTTTTTTTGGGGGGGGGGGCATATTTAAGGTCTCATTATCCCAAACTGGCTTCAAATGGTTTTATGTAGGCAAGGGTGAACTTAGATTCCTGATTCAAGTGCTTAGATTGCAGGCATTCACCATGTATGGTTTATACTTGTGTGTTGGGGTGAGTGTGTGTGTATGTGTGTTACTGGGCATCAAATTCAGGGCCTCAAATGTACTAAATAGTTACACTACCATGGAGCTACTACTCAAGCTCCTCGAAGCATAAGTTTTAACTCAGAAAAATTGCATCTTAGTCACCTACTTCAGATTTATACTGTGCTCTAAATTATTGCTATTAAAATAGTACTGCTTGGGGGCTAGAGAGATGACCTGCTCAGTAGTTAAGAGCACTGACTGCTCTTGCAGAGAACCCAGGTTTGGGTCCCAGCACTCACATGGCAGCTAACAACCATCTGTAACTCCAGTTCAAGGGAATCCAAGGCTGCCTTTTGACCTCCAAGGGCATTGCATGACATGGGTGCATTTATATACATGCAGACAAAACGCTCCAAAAAAAAAAAAAAAGGAATAAATAAATAAAAATACTACTATTGAGCTGGGCATGGTGGTGTAAGCTTTTAATGCCAGAGAGGCCAGCCAGAGTTACATAGTGAGATTCTGTCTCCAAAACAAAAAAAATACTACTGTGGTAGAATATTGCCTTCATGTCCTGTTTGCCCATTCACACTATTTGTATTAGCCTGTTTTCCATTGCTAGTAACATAATTACCACAGGCTGATAAGTTATAAAGGAAGCTTACTTTGACTCATGGTTCTGGTCTAGGATCAAGTTACTGCATATGATAACAGCCTTCCTGTGAGCAGAAACATTTGGGTGGGGGTTGGTTTGGGGAAGAGGAGTATTATTTTGTTTTCATGTTTTGGGTTTTGTTTTAGCACTAAGGATGGAACCCAAGCTGTTTAGCACCTGTGACTATATTCTCAGCCCATTTTCTACCCTTGGTCTTGTCTTTTTGGTTGTGAGCCTGACCTTTTAATGGTGGCACCATCTCTTTAGCCCCCACTTTAAGTTGTAATACCTCCCAGTGGGGATGAGACTCCCAATAGAGTTTCAGATAGGACAAACTGTCTTCAAATTAGAGTATTGTTAGATTTTATAACTTCAATTAGAATATCATTTGCTAGGTTTAATAACATTGTTAACTGAGAAAAACTGTATTCTGATAACATTCTGTAGTAAAATTTATCAGCTCAGTACCCTCTTCTCCTTTATCCATAGTATACAATATTTGGCAAATATTTTAGAAATTACAATTTGGGGTTATGGAAATTGATAAATGAAAATATCATTTTTCCCTTCTCTACATTTATTTATTTAGACAGGGTCTTGCTATATAGCATGGCCATGAACTCAAGATCCTCCTACCTTATCCCCCTGAAATCTGGGGGATAAGCATGCCACTTAGATCATTTTTTTGTTTTTAATTTGGAGGCATTTTGTTGTGAGACTCTGGAACACCTTTTACTTTGTAGTAATTAATGAAGATGATTTCACATCAGATTATAGTTGAAGGTTTTATAGTTGGCATCTTTTAAAACTCAAAGTTGTGTATAAATTCACTATATAATTTGGCTTTACTGGATCATTTTACATTTACACTGAAATTATATCTTAACAAAATAGATGCATTTCGTTACAATATATTTTAAGTATGGCTAGTTCCATTGGGTTCATTTGGTTGGCTGGATTTTGTTTTACACAGGGTCTCATAGCTCAGGATGGTCTCACACTTCTATATAGTCAAGGTTGGCCTTGAACTCTTGCTGCTTCCCAAGTGCTGGGATCACAGACATGCACCACTACACACCCAGCTGTTGTTTTTATTTGTTTTTTTCTGTCCATCTTTGAATGTTTTTAGGTTAACTTTTTGCTTATTAATGTTTGGGTTTCAGACTAGGCCTCTCTGTGGTGCAGGCTGGCCCCAACTGCTGGGCAGTCCTCTTGCACCGGCCTCCAAAGTACCTGTAACTATATGTATGCTCCTAGTGTGCCTAACTCTGGGGATTACATGTACTTGACACTTCATCTCTCCCCACTACCATCCCCAAAGCCAATTTGTTGATATTTTTAAGGCAGTCAACATTTATTTTCTTCAATGACTTTAGCCTTTATTGAAGAATACATACTAAATGATAGTATTTGATTACATTTATTGAATGGATCTTTCCCTATTTTTCTTTCTTACCTTGAATGTATTTACACTAATTAGATTTGTAGTTTTACTAAAATGCTTAAATGTTTCCAAATGTATCATTTGACATTGAAAGTGTACTTTTCATTCTTGTTCTTGACCATTTCTGTTATTTAATTTTGAGGTATACATTAAAAGTCTTTTAAGTGGCATTTCTATTTGGAAATTAACCTTTATCTACACACAGATTCAATCTGTTTTTTTCAGGGTTACTTTGAAAGTTGCAACATACACAGAAACAGGATAGCAGGCTTTGAGGTAAAAGCCTATGCTAACCCCACAGTAGTTCGATGTGAAATTCACCATGGACAGACTGGAGGAATATATGTCCATGAAAAAGGAAGAGGACAGTTCATAGAGAATAAGATCTATGCAAACAACTTTGCAGGTGTATGGATTACCTCAAATAGTGACCCAACCATAAGGTATTTGCATATAATTGTGGATAGATTGTTTTTTACTTCAGGATTTTCTCACCAAAAAAAAAAAAAGTAAAGATACTGAATTTGAACGTTTTGTTTTGTTTTGTTTTGTTTTGTTTTGTTTTGTTTTGTTTTGGCAGGGTCTCACTCTAACCCTGGCTGGCATGGAACTTATTATGTAGACTAGGCTAAGAGAGCTGCCTGCCTCTGCCTTTGAAGTACTGGAATTAAAGATGTGCACCACCATGCCTGGACTCTGAATTTTAAATCTTTTTTTAAAAAATAATTTTAAAAAAATTTATGTGTATATTGCCTGTGTGTATATAAGTGCACGTATGTTGTGCAATGCCCTTGGAGGTCAGAAGAGGGTGTCAGATCCCCTGGAACTAGAGTTAGTGGGTGCTGGGACTCAAACCCAGGTCTTCTGCAAGAGCAGCTGTGCTTTTTACCACTGAACCATCCTTTGTGAACCTCAACTCTTAAAATTTTTCCTGAAATTGTGATGGCTAATAAAGTAGGGTTTTCTAAAGTTAAACACTTTTTTTCTATTTTTTGTAAGTTGTAGATGCTATGCACCATTGTTTTATATAGTTGAAAATGCTGTGGTCTTATTAAATTCATCAAATTATATTAACTTATTTTAGGGCCAGCATGGTGGTACACACATTTAATCCTAGCATGCTGAGACAGAGATAGAGGCAGGTGAATCTCTGTGATACCGAGGTCAGTCTGGTCAACATAGTAAGTTCCAGGCTGACTGAGGCTACAGGGAGACCCTGTATCAAAACAAAACAAAATGCTATTTTAGAGCCAGGTTTGGTGGTACACACCTGTAATCCCATCACTTGGAGGCAGAAGCTGGAGGAACCCCACAAGATTGAGGCCAGCCTGGTCTACATAGTAAAACAGTCTCAAACTAAAATGAATAGCAACAAAATATGGGGGCTTGGAGACATAGCTCATGCTAGAGTACTTGCCCAGCCATGTACAAGGCCCTGTTTCATCTTAAATAGTAGTCAGGTTTCTTTTAAATCCCTTAGGCACTAGAAAGAACTAAAAGATAATTTGGAACTCATCTAACAAACTGAGCCCATAGAAGTTAAATAATTTTCCACAAGATTATGAATGCTCTTATGGTTGTCTAAAACAATCTTTGTTATATAGATGATATTATAAAATTATTTTACATAATTATAGGGGGAATTCTATATTTAATGGAAATCAAGGAGGAGTTTACATCTTTGGTGATGGACGAGGCCTTATTGAAGGAAATGACATTTATGGTAAGAATACGATTTTGTTGTGTAAAACTTTTACATTTCCCTATTTGTTGGTTTTGTGCAATATAAATTGACCCAGTATTTACTGACTGAGGGAGGGGACAGACAGGGTGGGTTCAGTCCTTTCTGGCCACTTCTTGGCCACTGCTTTCCTCATGGCCTCAGCTCCTCTCGCTTCCTCTGTATGTGTGTCACCATCCTCCTCTTGTTGAACTTGAGCACCTGCTTATCCTTGGAGTTGGGAGACCTGGAGCAGCTCCATGATGCTCTAGGATGTGAATCTGCATGTCTCCAGGATCATATCCTGCACAGACTTGGTGTGTTTAGTGAGGTGTCCATAGACCCAGCTGTGCATCAGCTTGTGGCCCTTGTGGAAGCCCATGACTATGGAATAGCCCAGATCCATAATTGCTGGTCTTCACTGGTAGCCACGACAGGAAGGCTAGCCTGACTTGTTAATATAGACAAAATGGACTTTTTTTTTTTTTTTTTGGTCTTTTTGAGGCAGGGTCTCCCTGTAGCCCCAGCTGTCCTGGAACTCACTATGTAGACTAGGCTGGCCTTGAACTCACAGAGATCCGCCTGCCTCTGCCTCCCAAGTGCATGCACCACCATGCCTGGCAGTAAACTAGACTTTTGAAATTACCTAAGTGAGAGAACTAGTCTAGTTTAACGATCTGAATAAAGATTGTTATTTAAGAAACATTCCCTCAATGCTTGTATACCAGGGAAAAATATAAGACTCTAATCTCAAAGTATATGTACAGTTTTCTTACATTCATTACATTATCTAATAAAAAACAATTTCTGTCAAGTTCAGTCTACTTTGAATTCAATAGAGGATGGATGTACTCCTCATTAAAGCTTTAGAAGCATTAATTCAGCAAACTGATAACATACGTGTATGTTATTTGTACATGAAACTTACTAAGTAACAGATGCTGTTCTGAGAACCTTACCTGAATAAGGTCATATAATACTCATGTCACCTCTATGAGATAGATATTATTAAATATCTCCACCTGTTGATCAAAACGCTGAGGCACGAAGAGGTTAAAACACTGGCTCAACATCACATTGGAAATAAAAAGAATTCTTAGAACTCAATACTTGGCAAACTGGCTTGAGTCTCTATTCTTAACCACTGTATTATACTGCTTGCAACCTTTCCATATCTACTTAAATTTGTCCTCTTAATTTGTCTTCTAATGCTCAGTAAAATTCTAGTGCAAGAATTTTTTACTATTACCTAACGTAAAACTCTTACTATATACCACTGGACTCTGAACATTAACATTGTCACTTTTTTTAAAATAGGCAATGCATTAGCAGGAATTCAGATTAGGACAAACAGTTGTCCAATTGTTCGACATAACAAAATTCATGATGGACAGCATGGTGGGATTTATGTGGTAAGTTGATGATACAATTTATATAAACTCACGCATGAAAATCAAAACGAGAGGCTAGGGATGTATTTCAATTGGTAGGGTGCTTCCCTTGCATGTGGGAGGCAGGAGAATCAGGAGGTCAAGGTCACCCTTGGCTACAGAGCAAATTCAAAGCTATCCTGGGCTACATGAGATGCTGTCTCAAAAAAATGGAAGGAAGAAAACATGCAAGCGTAGAAAAATGGGACTCATTGAGAAGTCCACATTCAAGCTCTTGGATATATTTCTGTCTTCTAGAGAACCTTACTCTTAATCCTCCTGCTTAAGCCTATATTAAAATACCTTTATTAGGCCGGGCATGGTGGTACATGCCTTTAGTCCCAGCGCTTGGGAGGCAGAGGCAAGCAGATTTCTGTGAATTCAAGGCCAGCCTGGTCTACATGGTGTGCTCCAGGCCAGCTCCCTACAGGGAGATCCTGTCTCCAAAAAAAAATTAATTAATTAATATATATATATGGATAGATGGATATGGGTGTGGTAGCCCAGGCCTGTAATCTCAGCACTTCGGAGGCTGAGGCAGGAAAATCATAAACTCAACGCCAGGGGCTAGAAAGAAACTCAGTTGGTAAAGTGTTTGCTACACAAGCATGAGAACTTGAGTTTGAGCCCAGAACTCACATAAATAAACCAAGTATGATTGCATGTGGGTGTAATGCCTGCACTGAGGAGGCTGAGACGGGGATCCCTGGGTTGAGTAAGGGTGTCAACAATAAATTCAAGGCTAGCCTGGCTATAAGAGTAAGGCCCTGATTCAAATAAAAATAGAAAAACCTCTGTGACGGGATCAGAGAAGAGTTGAAAAGATTACAGCTTTAAGTAGGCAATATTTAACTTCTAGATTATGAATTTATATCTTTAGAATTGAGACAGTAATAGTTTTGTTCTCTCGGTATGTGAATGACCTCTAGTTCTGATGTGTATAAAATTTAATCAGTAGCTGAGTAAATTTGGGCATAAGAGGCATAGTTTTCTTAAGGTCTTTTTAAATTTTTTTATTTATTTGGCAGGGGCATGCGTACCACATAGAGGTAGGGAGTTTTCTGTGAGATCAGGGCCAGCCTGGTCTACATAGTGAGTTCCAGGCTAGCTATGAGACGCTATCTAAAAAAATAAAAAATATTGTTTTCAAAAGGAATGTTGGACCAGAAGAGATGGTATAGCTGGTAAAGGTGCTTGTTATTTATGCAGGTCTGACAACCTGAGTTCAATCCCCAGAACTACATACAAGTAGAAGAGAACCAACTCCAAAATTGTTCTCTGGTTTCCACACACTTACCATAGCACATGCATACCCACACACATATAAATCATACACACACACATACACACAGAGTATAATAGTAATAAAGCTTTTTTTAAAAAATGGGTAGCCAGGCATGGTGGGGCACGCATGTAATTCTAGCATCTGGGAGGTTGGAGACAGGAAGATCAGGAATTCAAGATTGCCCTTGGCTGCATAGCAAGTTCCAGGCCAGTCTGAGGCACATATGAGTTGTCTCAAAAAGTCAAGAAAGGGCCTTCAACCTAAGTTTGATCACTGGAACCCATGTAAAGATGAACCCATCATAAAATTGTGCTCCGATCTCCACACCATGCTATGGCATGTGGGCACCCTCACATTATGCATACACACACAATAACACAAAGATTAAGATTTTTTTTCAAAGCTGAGGAAAACAGAAAATGAAGATACTGCTCGGTGGTAGAAAGTTTGTTTTGTTTTTTGTTTTTTCCTCCAATGTCTATGAGTGCATTACTTTAAGTGCACCCGTGTGCCCACGGAGGTCAGAAGGCGGCGTTGGATTCCCCTGGATCTGGAGTTATAGTTGTTAGCTGCCATGTGGGTGCTGGGAATGGAACCTGGGTCCTCTATAAGAGCAGCCAGTGCTCTTAACCGCTGAGCCATCTCTCCAGCCCGGTAGAAAGTATTCTTACATGCATGTGTCTTGGGTTCAGTCACTAGCACTAGAAAAAAAAAGTTGTACTTTCTCCCCAGCTGCAAAGAAAACTTGCTTACAGACAGTATATATTGTAACCAGTTTAACTTTTGTCTAGCATGAAAAAGGACAAGGTGTAATAGAAGAGAATGAAGTTTATAGTAACACTCTGGCTGGAGTCTGGGTGACAACTGGTAGCACTCCAGTACTAAGAAGAAACCGGATACACAGTGGCAAGCAGGTAAGGCTACCTGCCTAGACTCTTCTTTTGGTAAATAATGCTTTATAAACACCACTTGAAGGTTGTTTTTCTTTCCCTTCAAATTTAGGTTGGTGTTTATTTTTATGACAATGGACATGGAGTGCTGGAGGACAATGATATCTACAATCATATGTATTCAGGGGTTCAAATAAGGTATGTTTTCTTGGCTTTTGGTGGGAGGATTTGGGAATATGTATAGACTAGAGATTTGCTTATTTAATGCCTAGTCATCATCCCATTGTATATTCACACACACACACCCTTTTTTTTTGAGGCATGGTCTCATAGATGTAGCCCCAGCTAACCTCAAAATTGTTGTGTACCTTGAGCCTCTGACCCTTCCTCACCACCTCCAAGTGCTGGGATTACAGGCCTTCCTTGCCATGCCTAGTTTCACATTGTTGCATTCTTAAACAGTCAGAATATAGCTTTCCCTAGTCTGAGGGAGGAGCTCATGACATGCCATTAAGAGCTCACTTCACCATTCTCCCATCCTGAGTTCTACATGTTGTGCCTGTGTATGTCTGGCATGTCATTAGCAGAAAAACAGAAGTTCTTATTTTCCTGAATGCCATTTATGTTAACTGAATCCTTTTTTATACCTCACTTTAATATTTTATGGAACCCTAGTAGTGTAGTTTTAAAGATTAGGCAGTTCCAACTTTTTAGTCATTTAACCCCCTTTATTTAGCTTACATAAACAGGCTCTATGACAGTATAATCGATAGCAAAATATTACAATGTGCATTTCTAGGGAAAACAAGATTAAGCAAGCCATTTTCTTTAACCACTCTATAGTTTTGTTTTGTTTTTTTTTCTTTAGCACATTTAGGGTTAGACACATGGAGGTCAGAAGACAACTTTGGGGAGTCAGTTCTCTGCTTTCATATGGATTCTAGGGATCAAAGTCACGTCATCAGCCATATTGACAAGTTGTCTTAATGCTGACCCATCCATCTTGCTGGCTCTGTGTATAGTTACTTGCCGTAATTATTGTGGGTTTTTTCTCAAGTTAGGAAAGGTGGAATATGGAAATACAAATAATTGAAATGTGATTACTTTCTTCTTGCCCGTAGGACTGGGAGCAACCCTAAAATTAGACGCAACAAAATTTGGGGAGGACAGAATGGTGGAATTCTAGTTTATAATTCTGGTATGTTTAATCCATCATATTCTCTCTGTGTTAATAAACTTGAGAAATATATCTTCTAAATAATGTACCTAAAATTTTACATTTTTAGGTCTAGGCTGTATAGAAGACAATGAAATATTTGACAATGCAATGGCTGGAGTCTGGATTAAGACAGACAGTAATCCTACACTAAGAAGAAATAAAATTCATGATGGAAGAGATGGTGGCATCTGTATATTTAATGGGGGTCGAGGTATTGTTGTTAATTTCGCACTAGTGAAAAACCCAGTTTTTCATTATTCTTCTATATCTTTAATGATCAATGACATTGCCAACTAATGTGTTACAAGTAAACTTTTCTTTATCAAATCCTTAGATGGTTTAGGAAATTAGTGCCTAGAGTTGAGGAGACAAATGTTTACAGTACTTGATCTTTGTAACCACCTTGACTCTGAGTTGTCAGTAAAGCTTTTTGAAGGTAGAATTTTACACTCTCACTCTGGTCCTTTTATTCAGAACAGTGATGATTTTAATAAACATTAAAGTCAAGTTACGGAACTAGATGTGAGAAATTGTTATGTAAACATATGAAAATGTCTATAGTAAACAAGTATTGATTTTTGTAACTGTGTTGGAAAACTAAATTAACAAAGCCAAAGTGTGCCTGACGTGGTATCCATGAAAGCCAACTTTGCATTGAAGTGTTAATTCTACAGAGCATATGCTGGTCATAGATTGGAAGAGAACGCTAAGTGCAAAGCACTGATCCTGAAATTATGTATTATTTCATATAGAAAGATAACTCTATCAAGACTTAACAGACTACAGCCCTGTAGTGATAACCCCATTAATTATGCAGGCTCTCAAGGAACTTTAATTGAGGACAAACCAGTTGTAGTGGCTGACACCTATAATCCCAGCACTTGAAAGTCCAAGGCAAGAGAACTGACCCAAGTTCAAGGCCAGTCTGGGCTCAGTATGAGACCCTACGGTTGAGAAAAAATATGGAGGGATTATTTTGATTGCAGTGTTAAGCAAAGGCTTATACAGTAAAAATTATTCTTGGGCTATGTCTCAAAATATTCTACTGCGGGGATGGGGGTTGGGGGCATACCCAGTATAATTGTTTTGGCTTCCACTTAATTTTGTAAACACCTGATTGAACACCTTTGTACCAACCACTGTGATGGAGATGGCTAAAAAGATAGTAAATAAAACAGTATGACACCCATAAAAATCTACAGTTTAATGGAGTGGCACATTGTTAACAAAGTCTAAAGAAAACTAGTGGTTTAGAGGGTACAAGAGGTTATGAAAGTTGAAGCTGCAGAAAAGAGCAAGACATAAGAGGTTTTCTATATGCAGTAAGGAGTTTTAGGGAGCCATGAGATGGCACCTAAGGACCTGAGTTCAACACCCATGTCCCACAAGGTGGTCAGAGGCCTCCACAGGAGCATACACCTGCATTCATACACACATACAATAAATAAGAATGAGGGATGGAGGGGGAAGGAAAAGGAGCTGCCTGGCTAGACGCAGAAGTGATACTACATGACCAAGTTATATGGAGGGGGTACATATCTAAAAAGGTCCTTAACATGCCTAAGATCTTAGATTCATTCTCCGGCACCAGAGGGAAAAGGGGATGAAAAAGCAGTGAGATAAAATGCAAGGCCCAAGAACTGGTATGTGGAAAACATGGTTAGCTTTAATAAACAACCCAAGGTCATTTCAGCCTGTATCCAATTGCTGTAAACCATAGAAGACACAAGATGCTTTCAGAGAATGTCCCCTGGATGCGGGTCCTATACTATGGAATACCAGAGGTCAAATGTCTACCCATATAAAAATGCCTGTGTTCAGAATATAATTATTTTATGTGTGTAGGAAGTGGTAGAGTATGTGCAGGAACTCAGAGAGGCCCAAGTTGCCAGATCCCCTTGGAGCTGGAATTACAGAAGTTGTAAGCCTTCTGATGTGGGTGCCAAGAACCAAACTTGGGTCTTCTGCAAGAGTACAGGCTCTTTAACTGCTGAGCGCTCTCTCCAGTCCCTAAAAACAGGTTTTATAGCAGTGTTAGCTAATGCTGGTGTACTTACATAGGAAGTAACATAATCACTCATGGCTACTAACTGCGGTTAACTCTTGATTCCTTTGCCTATTCTCACAAGTTACACTTCTAGGTCAAAGGATACAGAAAATCCTAAGAGGCAGTAATATTAAGGAGAGAAGAGTTCAGGACATTAGAGGAGTAACAAAAACAGCATACTTAGAACAGTTCTGACAGGATAAGGAGGTTAGGGGAATACTCTTGATTCAAACTTTACTCAAAAGATTTTATAAGCAGAGAAGGGGCATAAGAGCTTTTAAAAACTTACTGGATACTGCAGGTGAAAGACTAAAGGGAAATGATCAGAATAATTCTGCAAATTACTAAAACTCCTTTCGGCTGGGGGTGGGGTGCATTTAGTAAGAAACTAAACCACCAAAACACCACAAAAAAGGCTAGCAAAGTTCACTGTATGCATTAACCTTAATCTAAAGAAATATTTTATTATAGGTCTCCTTGAAGAAAATGATATTTTCAGGAATGCTCAAGCAGGTGTTCTTATCAGCACTAATAGTCATCCAGTCTTAAGGAAAAACAGAATATTTGATGGATTTGCAGCAGGTTTGTACTTCATTTTTAGTTATTAAATAATGTGCCTGATCACTTATGAGAATCTTGTCTGAGTTCTAGATTCTTCTGCTCTTTGCCAAGCTTTTAACTGTTGAATAAGTCTAAGTTTGTATTAGAATCAGAAATACAGGTAAAGGGGCTGGGGATTTAGCTCAGTGGTACAGCACTTGCCTAGCAAGCACAAGGCCAGGTAAATTCAAGCCCTCTGACTTCAAAATGTCTTCTTATGAACTGAGCGTGGTAGTGCATGCCTTTAATCCCAGCACTCAGAAGGCAGAGGCAGGTGTATCTGTGAGGTCAAGGCCACTGGGGCTACAGGAAGACCCTGTCTCTCCCAACACGCCCCCCCCAAGAAATCTTGTAACTTTCATTACTCCAAATAACCATTTAGAAGCTTTTTCTTTTCACTATATACTCTATCAACAGTGAAAAGTGAATGTTGCCATCAGTAATTCAAGTACTTGAAAATTTGTTTAGACAGTAAATTAATGTAAAAAGCACTAGGTTACACCGGGCGTGGTGGCGCAAGCCTTTAATCCCAGCACTCAAAGAGGCAGAGGCAGAAGCAGGCAGATCTGAGTTCAAGGCCAGCCTGGTCTACATAGTGAGTTCCAGGACAGCTGGGGCTACAGGGAGACCCTGCCTCAAAAAAAAAAAAAAAAATAGTAGTTATTTATTTTTTTAAAGTACTAGGTTACAGTATTTGCTAATTTGGAAATTCTTTTCAGAATAGTGAAGTGTTGATGCATATACTTGTTTGTAAATTTTACTTCAGGTATTGAAATTACAAATCATGCAACTGCAACACTAGAAGGCAATCAGATTTTTAACAACCGATTTGGAGGCTTATTTTTAGCATCTGGTGTTAATGTGACAATGAAAGGTATGTTGGAGTCTGTTCTGCTTATAAGTACATGAAGTATGCTGTAAAAAATAATCCAAACCCACTGATTCATCCCTTTTGTCATTAGGAGTTAAGTTTTTAAAGCCTAGCAGTTGGAATGTTATTATTCCATAAGGAATATCTATTTCTTAGTTGGTTTCTTAGCTTCACAAAAAGATGTTAGAAATACTCACTTTTTTTTTTAATTACAGATAACAAAATAATGAACAATCAAGATGCCATAGAAAAGGCTGTTAGCAGAGGCCAATGTTTATATAAAATATCAAGTTATACCAGCTATCCCATGCATGATTTCTACAGGTATATTTCTAAATTACTTCAGTACAGAAAAGGGGGTGAGGGGAGACAGTTAAGTTCTAGAATCAAAGACCATTCTTACAAGAAGTGCAAGCTGGGTGTGGTGGCACACTTTAATCCCCGCACTCTGGAGGCAGAGGCAGGCGGATCATCTCTGTGAGTTCAAAACCAGTTTTGTCTAGAGTTCCAGGCCAGCAGGGGGTACAGAGAGATCCTGTCTCAAAAGGACCAAAAAAAAAAAAAAAAAAAAAAAGAGAAAAGCACTGCACAAACTCAGTGATGAATATAAACACATCTGCTGAGCTTTAATATAATTTTCTGATTTATTTACACTTTAATTTCTTCATTCCTGCCCCAAAGTAGGTTACATTTTAATGTTTATATTTCAAAGTAAAGAAAGTAAAGCAGTCATATAATCCAGTCACTTGAGTTCTGACTCCTCCCATCCCAACTGACAGGCGCTAAGCCAAATTCCTTTTTTAAACAGCACATTTTAGCTGTCTTATTTACAACTCAGATGATTCCTTTTTCCTAGACACTAAAGTTTCTTTTTACATCCTGGACTGAGACACAAAAATTCCCTATCAGTCAGAGGTCATAAAGTAATAGATGGCTTAAGTATAGTGTTTTGAATCCCTGGCATATTCAATAATACAAAGTTTTGCTTTTTAGATGTCACACTTGTAACACCACAGATCGAAATGCTATATGTGTGAACTGCATTAAGAAGTGCCATCAGGGACACGACGTAGAATTTATTAGACATGATAGGTATGTAGCACACTTAAAACTGCTTATGTTACCCAGTTGTTTTTCCCCTCGCTTTCCTAATCTTTGGATTTTCATTTTGCTTTAGGTTTTTCTGTGACTGTGGTGCTGGAACATTGTCTAATCCTTGTACGTTAGCTGGTGAGCCTACACATGATACAGACACATTATATGACTCTGCTCCACCTATAGAATCTAATACTTTGCAGCACAACTGAATTCCTTCCCTAAAGAAAAAGTCCTGCCATTCTAACATCATAACTTAAACATTTTTTGGAAGATTTAAAATATTTGCCCATGCTACAGAAAGAGACTGTACTAAAAGAATGGATACATAAGGTCAGTTGACACTATGAAGCTCAAGCTACCAAAAAGAAAGTGGCAATATATTGACTCAGGATCTCAAAGCTGGGTGTTTTAGCATTACTGTGTAAAGACTTTTGAAGGGACAGAAGTGAAGAAAATAAGCTGCAATTTTGTACAGATACCAACTTTCTGAAAAGCTGGTGTTTTTACAACTAGCATTGAATGCAGTCGAATTTGCAGTAGTAATCTTCAATAGACAAGCAGCTTTGTTGCTGCCTTTATGGACATGGGTACCAATTGCTTTTGTAATATGGTAAAAATGTGAGCTAGCACTTCTGCGTTGATTTTTTTTTTAACATGTATTCAGATTGAGAAATATGATTTTAATGCTTTAATCTCATGTAGTTTGTTTTTAATTTCAAGCAAAATCTTATTGTACTTGAATGTGCCCTGTTTTGTTAGCACACCTAGACTTGCTGTAACTGTACTCATGTCCCAGTATGTACGTTCTTTCTATGAAAGAGAAAACACTAATCTTAAATTATATCCAGCAATGTTTCTGGTATCCTTTAAGAAAAGTTAAGACTATTATTTCCTTCCCTTCCCTGTGCAGCATTCAAAAATCACCCCTAGAAAAAGTGTTTTAATGAGACTTCCTAGGAAGGGATGCACTGTAAAACAAAAGTATTCTTGTAACTCAGTTTTGTGAAAGGTAAAAACTACTATGTTTTAAAGTACACTTTAGAAAGTCTCTTCAAAACAGTCCTGTATTTGAACTCTGTTCATAGTTTTTATTTGAACAGTTTAGACAGAACTGCTGGAAATTAAAACGATTTCCTGCATTAAGCTGAGACCAGTATATATACAGCTCTATACAGTTTCATAGCTTCCCTTACCCCATTTATGTGTATTGGTGACAGTGGGTATAAACAGCCTGAAAGTGTATGCATGTACCATAACATCTAGACTTAATATATTGTGGAGTATCCAATAACCATTATGTAGAAGGTAGGTAAGAATTAAAAGGGTTTAATTTCCTAGAAAGAAAATGGAAAAATGGTCATTTTTAAAAAATAAAGTTTATTAGATCATAATGTTGTCTGAATTTACCACCTTTGTCAAAAGTCAACTCAGCTTCCAATGTAGTCTATAATTCCTTAATCAAAGTCAGCAACTTATGGAGACCTTCAGCATCTATAGTCGACCTTTCACTAGCCAGACAAACTTCCCTTTAAAAAAAGAAAAAAAAGTTTTATGTAGTCACAGTGCACCATCCCCTCCCCCTTTATCATTAGAAAATTGCTACATAGTGAAGTTATAGCCTACATCCACATAAACTTACCGGAAGAGTCGTAATGACCGATTCATCTTCTCAGATTCTCTTGCTTTTCTGTGTCCCTTTTGAATAACTTCCTCTGGAAGATTTGCAAGTCTTGCTGCATTAAAGCCATAGCTCTTAGGACAAGCTCCCTTAATGAATTTATAGAGAAAGGTAATGGTTTCCTGGCTGGGATCTTCACATTCATTTTCTACCATGCATGCCTTAAAGAAAGAGAAATATTTTGTTATAGCTATACTATTTATTTGCTACCAACTGAAATGCCCGATTGAGCGAATGCCCTCAAAAAAAGTGAACAATGTTTGAATAAATGATTTGCACATACCATATGTCCTAGGCGCACAGAAACATTTTTAGAATAATCTTCTACTAATGAATGATAGTGTGTAGAAAACAATGTACGACACTTTATGGTTTCAGCAAGTTCTTTAACAACTGCATTTGCTATTGCTGTCCCATCAAATGTTGCAGTACCTCTTCCTGTAGAAGTAAAATATGCATGTACTGTATATTATGCAATCAACAGTGATACACTCCTGCAATTCCAGCTACTCAAGAAACTACAGTCTAATCTGGGCAACATACCAAGATTATCTAAACCAGGTGTGGTGGCACATGCCTTCAGTCCCAGTACTCCAGAGGCAGAGGCCAGCGGATCTCTGTGAGTTCAAGGCCAACCTGGTCTACATAGTGAGTTCCATGCCAGCTGGGAATATAGGAAGACCCTGTCTCAAAAAGACAAAAAAAAAAAAAAAGAGTAGGGGCTGGGATTTAATTCAGTGATACAGTACAGAAAGGGAGGGGGCATCCAGCACACATATAAATAGGCCCTAGTAACCCTTGGGAAATGGGAGTTTCTTCTTTCAAAAATACTGTTCAGCATACAAAACTTATTAGGGAACTAATAAACTTTGAGCCTCTTAAAATTTGTCCTCTGGCTGGGTGTGGTGGCACACGCCTGTAGTCCCAGCACTTGGGAGGCAGAGGCAGGCAGAGCTGGGGCTACAGGGAGACACTGTCTCAAAAAGACCAAAGAAAAAAAATATTTGTCCTCTCATCTCCGTACATGCACTGTAACATTTGAATGGAGCTCAGCAGGATGGCTGAGGCTCGATCCTTAGTACTGCCAGAAAAGAAATTAAAATTCCCTATTAGCTAGTAGGATCTTCCCGTCGTTCTAGGACAGTACATGCTTTGGGCAGTCCTGTTGCTCACAGTTCTAGATTATCTAAAGGATATGTAGTGTTTTCAAGGTGTCAAAGAAAAATTCCATCTTACCTAATTCATCCACAAGCACCAAAGAATGTACTGTTGCATGCCTCAGTATGCTGGCAGTTTCACTCAATTCAACAAAAAATGTACTTTCACCTAAAAAAAAGCAAACAAATTGTAAATGGCTATGCTATTTCAAGAATCATGTTGACAGCAGATTGACCTATCAATGTGACAATGATGAGCAACACAGAGAAACCACAAAACTCCTGTCATGATTATTTTTTTTAAACATTTATAAAGTTTTACATAACACTTCAAAAGGTATGGAGGAAAAAGAACAACTCACCTGACATTATTCTGTCTGAGGCACCGAGTCTAGTAAACACTCTATCAACTGGTGTGAGCCTACATCTTTCAGCAGGTACGTAACAACCCAACTGGGCCATTACAGCTAATAGACCAGCCTGTGAAGGTGGGAGGAAAGGTATTTTATGATTGGTATTAAAAGAACTTACAATAAGCATTTGACTTAGAAATCAGGTACTCTGAAGAAAAAAAAAAATCTTCACATTCCTAAATAAGTTGTTTCTACTCTTATACTATTTAGTAAATGTAGAAGCAAAGCTTAGCAAGTCAAGTCTTAAAAGCATCAAGCCTATTAATTCCAACGCTATCTCAAAATCAGGACCAAGTGAGAGTTCCACTGATGCTAGAACCTTTCAGGGGGTGCAATCCCTGTACTCTTGTCTCACGCTTTTGATTTTTAAAGTTGAAAATAACTATACACACTATAGCAAATCAGATAGATAAACAATGGTGTAATACATACAGGAGTCAGTAAACTATGCAGCTTTTTGAAAAGGTAAAAGCCAATTTTAGTTCTGTGGCTAGCTACTGGTGTAAAATTGACCCTAAAAGCTGTTCTGGGGCTGGAGAGACAGCTCAGAAGAATCCCACATGGCAGCAAAGAACCGTCTTGTAATCCCAGTTCCTTATGACCGACCTCCATAGGCACTGCATGACACAGGTGCACTTACATATTTACAGCAGGCAATACACAAAATAAAAATCAAAAAAAAAAAAAAAAAAAAATCTTGGGCTGCAGAGATGGCTCAGTGGTTGAAGAACACTGGCTGTTCTTGAAGAAGACCTGGGTTTGAATCCCAGCACCCACACAGCAGCTAGTAACTGCCTGTAACTCCAGTTCCAGGGGATCCGACAGCCTCTTCTGTCCTACAGGGCGGGAAAGACAGCTGGCAGAACTCACATATGACTGTGAATTCTTCATGCTACATCTGGTTTGTTTGTTTGTTTGTTTGTTTGGTCTTTTTGAGACAAGGTCTCCCTGTACCCCCAGCTGTCCTGGAACTCACTGTGTAGACCAGCCTGGCCTTGAAGTCACAGAGATCCGCCTGCCTCTGCCTCCCGAGTACTGGGATTAAAGGCGTACTCCACCATGCCCGGCCCAAAATATAAAATATTTTTTTATAAAAAAATCAAAACCTTTGTTGTGGTTAAGAACACTGCTCTTGCAGGACTCAAGTTCAGTTCCCAGCACCGACATGGCAATTAACAACCATCCCTAACTCCAGTTCCAGGGAATCCAGTGCCCTCTTCTGACCTCTGGGAATTGCATGACAAGGGTTTACTTACTTGCAGACAATACACGCACATAAAATCTTTCACTGAGCTACACTCCCAGCCCTTTAGAAAAGAGCTTCTTGAACCCTTAACGTGGTAAATACAACTTTTCTTACACAGGAGTTTTCCTTTGCTTCCTTTATGTGACTTCACTATTTGGAAAATGATGGGGCTAGATAACATTTCTAATAAAACATGAAGGATAAATTACCTGTCTTATGAGTGTAGATTTGCCCCCCATATTCGGTCCAGTAACAAGCACACAATAGGCTCTGCCATTTTCCTCTGCTTCTTCCTCACAGCCTATTAGAATGTCATTAGGAATAAAATCATCTCCAAAAAAAGTCTTTGTAACGCAGGGATGCCGTGATCCTTTAAGCTCTAAGAAGGGGACAGTGTTTTCTCCCGGTAATAGAATCACTGGGCGACACATAGGACCATCTCCTCCTTGACTATAGTTAGCCAGGCACAGTAAGACATCTGTGAGAGAGGGCAAAATTGAAGCTTCCATCATTTTGGGAATACATAACACAAGCCCCAACTTCTACAAAATGTCTTTAGAAATGGGCCAGTAAGTGGCTCAGCACGTAAAGGCACTTGCCATCAAAGTTGACAACCTGAGTTTACCTGGAATCCACATGGTAGGAGAAAGCCACTTCCTATTCAGACAGGGTCTCCCTGAAGCCACAGCTGGCCTTGATCTGAGAGATCAACCTGCCTCTGCCTCTGCCTCCCAAGTGCTGTGATTAAAGGCCACAATTTGTTCTGGATATAGGTTCTTTTTCTAATTGCCTTGGATAACACCTTTATTGCTAACTGCACAACACATAAAATACTATTGCTGAAAATAAGTTATTGGCCTAGGTGTTTTATATGTCATTTATAATAACATTTGAATATGAGAAATTACATTTCAGTATAGAGTTCTATCTCTCCCCTCGAAGTAGTTAACCTCCAACATCCAGATCAGAGGGGAAAAGCCTAAGATACAGCATAGAGATACTCCATGTATCTGAGTTGATACCATCCTGGAGTTAATGCTTTTGGGGAGAGAGTTGGCCTAGTGATACTAAAACAATCTTGGGAGCCAGATAAATTGACTAATTTTAGAACACCTCTGTTGAGGAAGCGTTTTACTATTCTATTCCATTGGATAATTGGGATCAGATCAAGAGTTTTCTGTTAAAAATCTCGGTGTATCACTTGAGGGTTCAGTGGTAGAGCACTTGCAAAGCCCTAGGCTCAATCCCTGCCACCAGCAAAAAATAAGGCAGGGAAGAAGGGCTAGGACAAATTATGGTTAGAGTTTATTTATTTATTTAATCTGGGACTGGAGAGATGGCTCAGCAGTTAAGAACACTGACTGTTCTTGCAGAAGACCTGGGTTCGAATCCCAGCACCCACATGGTAGCTAACTGTAACTCCAGTTCCAGGGGATTCAACAGCCTCTTCTGTCCTCCTCAGGCACTGCACGACACAGCTGCACTTACCTACATGTAGACATTAACACTCATAAAATATTTTTAAAAATCTAAAACAAACAGAAAAGAGCTCCCAATAGACCAGCCCTGACATTTAAAGAATAATATGTAGAGCTGAAAAGATTATCAATTATAAATGCAAAGTCACGCCAAAGATCAGTTGCAGACAGGCTGGAAGTATATAGCTTATAGTAAAGCCTAGCTTCATCCCTTCCCTACCTAACCCCCAAAAATGATTTGCATGAAAATGATTCAAAAGAAATACCAAAAAAAGTAAAAACTGCAAAGAATCAATTTTATTGATGAAGACTTATATTTAAAAATAAAAAGACCAGCCCTAGCTTCATTTAAGATGGAGGTAGAAGGTCCTAGTACACAGCTGAGATTCTAAAAAGGACTGTTGAGAAGCCCAAGCCACTTTTTTAAGATATGGTCTCCCTGTAGCCTCAGCCAGCCTGTAACTCCTTATGTAAACCAGGCTGGCCTCAATCTCACAGAGATCCACCTGCCTCTGCCTCCTGAGGGCTAGGATTAAAGGCAACCAGGTCTAAGCCACTTGTCAAAAGGTATGCTATCCTTCTGCCTCAACAATCCATTTTTTTAAACCCTGGCTGCCCTTAAACTCACGAAGATTGCCTGCTTCTGCCTCCTAAGTGCTAGAATTATTTGTGTGTGTACCAGTATGTGAAGACAACTTGCAGGAATTGGTTCTCCCACTATGTAGGTCCCAAGGATGGAACTCGGGTCATCGGACTTAGCAGCAATCACCTTTGCCTGCTGAACTACCTTGTCATACTACCTTCCCCTCCCCAGCCAAATCTATGGTTAATATCTTAATAAACTCCATCTCTGCTTTAAAATTTTTAAAATTTTTATTAGAATTTAGGCATGCACAAGGCCCTAGATTTGATCCCCAATGTGGCAAAACAGAAGAGTAAAAACTGAGACTGGTGGCTCACTCTTAATCCCAGCTCTTGAGAAACTGAGGCAGGAGGCCTGCAAGAAATTCAAAGTCAGCCTGAGCTAGAGACCCTACCTCAAAGGAAATTTGACCTAGTACCAGTAAAACTTTTTAGGGGCTTCTTTTTGAGATAGGGTCTCCCTGTAGCCCCAGCTAGCCTGGTACTTGCTATGTAGACCAGGCTGGCCTCAAACTCACAGAGATCCACCTGTCTCTGCCTCCCGAGTGCTGGAACTAAAATACACCACCATGCCTGGCATAAAACATTTTCCGAAGAAACTTGAAAATAAAGCTTGCCTTGATAATGTAACTACATTAATCTTTTTATTACAAGACTAAAAAAAAAAGAGCCAGAAGGCTACTAGTAACTTTCATTTTCAGTACTTAAATTGCTTTGGGCAGCCTAGTCATTTTGTCTGGTGTAGAAGCAAGCATATATATATATACATGCCAGTGCACAAACATGTTACTTAAAAGATACAAAACCAGTACACAAAGCATTATTATGCAATGTCTGGGGAACAAGATTGAAGCCTTACCCAATACTGCAATGCACTCTACAGCAGACTGCCAATCCTTGTAGTTTTTATCAAAGTTACAGAACAGCCGCCGCATGCAGTCCTTCAATGATGTATCCCTACGTTCTTCAGCATTTATAAGACTGGATAATTTCTTCTCAATAGTTTTGGTCCAGTATCGTTTACAGCCCTTTTTAGTAGATTTCAACTCATACTCTTCTGGCAGATTATGGGTGGTGAAATTCTCTGGAATCTCCAGCTGATAACGGTTCCTACCAATTCCCCAATAGACTATGGTCCTACAGCCAATCCGACTGCGTTGTTTATCCAAGTACTCCAAGAGGCTCTGTTCATTTTCTCGTATGTCAGCAAGTGCTTGGTCATAATCAGAGTCAAATCCTGCTTTGGGAGTAATCAGTCCAGTCTTTCGAGCCTTTTCATGATCAAAAGCTGTATCCCATCTGTTCAGTTCTGCAGTCAAATCAGGAAAGCGGCCTTCAGGACTTGTTTGCATAGTCACAACTTGCTTAAGGATTTTGGACTTAAAATCATTGGCAACTTCTTCCATGAGCCCTATAATTTTACACATTACTTTGAATCCTTCCAGAGCAGAAAGAAAATCAATGATCTTTTTTTTGCTGTACGTAGTTTCCTCATACATTATAGCCCTGCTATCTGGGTGGTTCTGGCTCTTGAGGGGAGACCCAACATTATGAATTTTACTCAGCAACCTCTCAAGGTCTGGTAGCTTCTTTAGGAGATCAGCAACTTCAGCGATTTTGTCAGGCACAGCCATGAGGTCTTCTACGGCATCGAGACGATCACTGATAGCAGACGGGTTACAGAGTGGGGCACAAAGCCACTGCTTTAGCAGGCGCTTACCGAAGGGAGTATGGCAAGTATCAAGCCTCTCTAGCAAGCTCCCTTCAGTAGAACCATTTGTCCCATTCAGGAAAATCTCCAAGTTGTTTAATGTCACTGCATCTAGCACCATTCGCTGATTGGCTTTAATAAAGATAGCACCAGGTTTTACTGTGCTGTCCAGGTCAGAATCCAAGGGAATATACTCCTCAAAATTAGCCATTGATAAGAGCTCCTGATCAATGAGGCATTTTTTGAGATAGAAAACACAACCACCTAGAGCAGAAAGGGCCAATTCACTCTTCTCCCCTGGTGTCAAGCCAATGGAATCTGACTCTGAGGTCATACTTTTAAGCACCTGGGGTAAAACTACACCATTATCTTCACTGAGCTTTTCAGTAAAATACCCTCCTTCAAGGAGAGTTCTCAAAGTCTTGGTTGCATCCCAAAATTGAGAGCCTGGTATCAGACCTTCTTGTAGACAAGATGACAATGAACCCTTCAGAACTGTCTTGGTTTCTGCCGAGAGATTTCCTTTCTCAAACAAGATTTGTACTGGAGGGTAATGTGCCACTAGAGTCCTAAATCTGGAACAATGCCGATCATCAGAAAACTGACCTACAAAAAACTTGCCTAGTGAAGTATCAACGAAGCACACGCCATACACACGAGTATGACCAAAAGAATCTTCCTCTTTCTCTTTGAGGCTGAGAAGATGCTTACTGTAGTTCTCCGAGGGATCACCTTCCAGTACACTATAGGTCTGTGTACCCTTGGTAATGATCCTACAAATCTCCCTTCTCACTACTCTATCAAATTTAGATACATGTGCCATCTTCCGGCATCGTGCCTCCATCATTTCCGGAGTCTCAGTCTGTTCTACTCGCGCTACTTTATAGCCCTTCTGCACCAGGGAATCTGAATAGCGGCCAAATGCAATTTCAGGAAAACCAGAATGGGCCCAATTGCCCTTCATGAACACTAGTCCCAACTCATTGACTCCAATAACAGCATCCATATGATATAATTCATAAAACTTCCCCACCTTATAAAAGATGATAAGATCAAAGTTCTGAGACTTAATCTGCCACCATTTTCTCATTCCAGGAGTACAAGAATTAAGGAAATCTTCAGGCACATAAAGTGTGGTGGCATTAAAATCAGGGTGATCAGGCCGCCTCCTGTGCTCATCTCTTCTCTTTTCCTTCTTAAGCCATTCTAAAGTTTCATGATACCAAGTAGTGGGACGACTACTGTCATCACATCCTCCACTGACATGGGCTTGGAAATCAGAACACTGAGGAGCAGAAAAAGCACTCAAACTACTTTTAGTTTCTGATGAAATGACACTTGCTCGTTTGGTTGGAGGTGTTTCCTTCCTTGAACTTTTCCTTTTACGGGCACTATTTCCAGTCATCATTCTCTTCCGCTTAGGAGCACCTTTGGTAAGGCTGCCCAGGCCTTCACTCTCACTGTCCCCTACACCACTGCTCACTTCATCACTGCTTCCTTCTTCCTTCCCATCTGGCTTGAATTCCACATCAGAGCCACCAATGTCACTCTCAGAGTCTGATATGACCCTTCGTTTTTTTACTTGGCGGCTACTTCGCCGAGATCCCTGCATCTTAGGCCGTACTTCTTCTTCACTTTCAATTTGATTATCTTCTTCACTCTTATCAGATACATGTACCTGCCAGACAAGAAGACTGTTTTTAAATACAGCAAAAAGCCTGGATTCAAAATCCCCACCACAAAAAATAAGAACAATGCAAAACTTTTTCTATGGGAAGTGTAACAACTCGGGCCTATAATCTCAATATATGGAGAGCTGAGCAAAAGGATTACTGAGTTCAAGGCCAACCTGAACTATAGTATGAGACTGTCTCAACAAAAACAAGACTTCTAGGCCTGGGGATGCAATTCAGTTAGTGGAGTGCTTGCTTGCCTAGCATGCCTAGCACTGTATAAACCAAGAGAGGTGGCACACAACTATCATCCCAACACTTCAAAGATGGAAACAAGGAGAATCAGAGGTTTAAGGTCATACTCAGCTACATTGCAAGTTCTAGGCCAGCCTGCAATATCTCAAAAACTATCTCAAAAACAATACGGAATGCCTGTTGTATGCTGCAACTTCACAGACACGTTTTCAGAAAGTTTTCTTTCTTAATATCTATTTCCATTTAACGTAACTTTAAAGCATGAACTGGACCTGGTTTCACAGGTCTGTAATCCAACTACAGGAGTTTTAGGCCTGCCTGGGCTGGTACACTGGAGGCCAGCCTTGACAACTCAGTGAAAACCTATTTCAAAAGTTTCAAAAAAAGGACTATGGTATGATACGTAGCTCAGTGGTAGAGCTCCGCCTAGTGTGAATGAAACCCTGGGTTTAATTGCCAATACTGGGGGACAATGACATATATTACAGCCTGTAATCCCAATACTTGAAAGGCGGAAGCAGAAGTATCTTGAGTTTGAGGCAAGCTTCTGCTACACAGACTGTCTCAAAAATAGGAGACAGCTATGGAGATTCTGCATAATATAACTTCCAATCCAGGGAAGTACAGAAGAATGCATGTACAAGCACACGGGGGCATTCACATAAATGATTAGTAGTTTATTACCTTTTATTGTACACACATCACTTCCCCCCCCATCACTCCTTTAACAGAAATAATGGAATGTCTAACCTCTGTCTCTTCCTCCTCTTCTGGCTCTGAAGGCTCATCACACACTGCCAATTCAAGCCTCTTAATCTTGTCTTTATTTAAGGCTTCATCTGCACGTTGCATTGCTCTGAGTATTTCAGACTTTGAACTGTAAAAATGACCTCCCTTTTGGGCTTCCTTTGACTTTGAACCTAGAAATGTATTTATAAAAAGTGACTAGATAGTTGGCTGAATCTACAACAGTTGCTCTCATAGAAAAGAATAGTTGACAGTCAAGTATAATTTCCATTGCCCCATTGTTTTCTATTCATATACATAGATCAACAGTCTATAGGAAGGAATACTCAGGGAAAGCTACCAATGAGACCAGAATTACCAACTTTACTTGAGGTTGCCTTATTTAGTCATCCAGGACCACTTCTCTCTTCTAATGACTTGGAACCATGGGTCAAAGCGTGGCAAACCTCTTTAAGTAAAGCAGATGCAAATGTAGTTTTGTCCCAGATATGGGATTTATTTAAATAAATGAATAACCAGGCTGAGGTTTAACTAAGCTGGCAAAGTGCTTGCCTAGCACGCACAAGACACTGGGTTCCATCCCCAGCAACACATAAACCAGGAGTGGTGGAGTACACCTGTACTCCCCAGCACCTGGAAGGTGAAAAGCAAAATAGGATCAGGAATTCAAAGAAATCCTCAGCTACAAGGAGCTTAACCCAACCTAGGCTACATGAAACTGTCTCAAAAAAAAAAAAAAAAAAAAAAAAAAAGGAATCAAACTAAATTACTATTGCAAGGGGCCTACCCTTTGAGGGAAGAATCCTGTTCAAACACTTAACATTATTTAAAAAAAAAAAAAATTTCCCCACCAAATAACAGTACCAAAATGCAACTTAAAAAGTTCTCTGCTTCCAGGCGTGGTGGCACACACCTTTAATCCCAGCACTAGGGAGGCAGAGGCAGGCAGATCTTTGTGAGTTTGAGGCCAGCCTGGTCTATATAGTGAGTTCCAGGCCAGCTGGAGCTACAGGGAGACCCTGTCTCAAAAAAAACAAACAAAAAAAGTTCTCTGCTTTAAAATAAAACTCCAGCTTTTCATTTAAAATTCATTTCATGGGAAATGATAGAGTGTTCAATGGTAGAAGGCTTGCCTATTTAGTGTGAGGCTCTGGGTTCAATTCAATCCTTAGCATTTGTTTTCAGCATTAAGTGAACACTTCTATGCAACAAAAGGTTAAGATCAGGATCACAAACCTAACATTATCAATTATTTCTTTTTAAAAGACATGATTAGAAATTTGTTTCTTAAATTCTAAGGCAATTTCCCATTTCTCTAAAAAGCAAAAGCTACAAACTGAAACAAGCTTTATCAATTAGAAGGTAGCTCTTAACTTTTCCCTAAAGTTCCTATGGCAGTTTCATTATGCATGTATGCATGCATACACACACCACTGTACCCATCAATACTTGATCTAATAACTGTAAGACAAAACTTGCCAAAGGAAGCCTTTTATTTCTACACACGCTTTTGGCTAATTTATTGAACCATGCATTTATTTCAACCTTTTTTGAAACTAGGTTCTGGGACCACCTGGCCATTTGGAAATAATTCTAAGGCACAATTGTTACCCCCACCCCAACTTGGTAGGTTAAAGCAGGAGGATTACAAATTCAAGGCCAACCTGGTTCTCCACTCTTGATCAAGGAGCTATCTCTCTAGCCCCCCCAAGCACTTTCTTTTTAATATGCATACATGGGTCTGTCTGTCCACAAGGTCTGACTGCCTTGTGTGTGGTTGAGCAGAGACCAGAAGAGGGTGTTGGATCCCCTGTAACTCCCCTATTATGAGAGTTACAGACAATTGTTAACCACCTGATTTGGGTCCTAGGAACTGAACTCAAGTCCTCTGGAAGAGTGGCAAGTGCTGTTAACCTTAACTGTTGAGCCTTTTCTCCAGACTGCATTTTTTTTTTTAACATGAGTGTATTGCCTGCATGTATGTGAGTGCACCCATGTCGTGCAATGCCGCGGAGGTCAGAAGAGGGCTTCAGATTCCCCTGGAACTGGAGTTAAGAACGGTTGGTAGCTGCCATGTGGGTGCTGGGAATCAAACCCGGGTCCTCTGCAAGAGAAGTCAGTGCTCTTAACCGCTGAGCCATCTCTCCATCCCCAGACTCCATTTTTAAAAATCTTAAAATTAATCCTGGAGAACTCATTTATCAACTGATGCCATGAGAGATCATGAGTAACAGTATCAGAAATAATTACTTGCATTTACCAAGCGTATACAACAAATCAGTAGAGAAGGCAGAATCAATTTCCTGGTTCTTTCCACCTTGTATCTTCAGATTTATATTTTGGCATGGTGTCCTTCAGTGAACCCACCATTTGCAAAACAGGCATACTCACCAAAAGGTATAGTTCTGAGAAACTGACCCTTACTGTCTACACACCATGGAGCTCAACATGCTAGCCTAGATTGAAGATAAATGATGTGGTTATGTTCAGGTCCCAAATATACAATATGCTGCATCCTACAATCATACTGTACATTGTATATAATTTAAGAGACTAGGGATGTACCTGGCCCAAGTGACGTTAAATATGTGGAGCTGCTAGTGTCCATGATGAATAAGGCTGAACACATTAAAAGAAAAGTCAGACAGTATTCTGGTGTGAAACAACTTTGACATGTTCAAAGGTGACAGATTTTGGAGGCCATGTGGTATGTGCATCTCTGTAATAGAGAGTGTCACTGACCTGTGCTATTTATCCTGCTTGCATTCCATATTTGTGGTTCCTTCGGACAGAGCCAATTTATCTTTTTACCCTTCTCATGTCTCAGCTTCAAAGTTTGGTTAACTAATTCCCATCATGAGACAGATTTCCTTAAAGTGCTTTAATTGCTGTAAGTCATTCAGGACAGAAATAAACACTCCACACAAAACAAAGCGGCTAAACACCAGCTGCATCTGGCCCCTTTATCATGTCAGAAGTCTTACAACTGATAATCTCAATATGCAGGGGAGTGGTTGGGGGACGGGGACACAACCCAATTTCACTGTATAACAGAGAACCAGTCACTCCCCACTTCCACAGTGTCTCTTACCTGTATATGGCTTTAACAGCCTTTTGCTAACCCAGCCCCTTGTTGGACCATCATCAAAAAACTGTACATGAACTCGAACTGATTTCCCTTTCTCCCGGATGAATGTTCCATCAAAGGGGTGATTGTAAACCAGGCAAGGCCACCAGGGGTAACCTTCCATCTTAGCCCAGACCAAATCACCTGGTGAGAAGTCACAAGAACTGTTGCCAAAAAGAAATACATCATTTGGTTAATATTTGGTCATGTTACTTCAAAGGCAATTACCCACAAATAATTCTAAGGAAGTTATCATTAAGAGACCTTTGGAGTCTTCTGGCATCAATATTTAAGCATATAACTACTAAAAATAATTTTAAGGTCAGATAGCTCTAGCAACTTTTATAACATAAGCAAGCTAATACTTAACAGTTAAGATAAAAATAAAGTCTGGTACTAGATGAGGAACTATTTCTCAAAATCAAAATTTTAAAATAATGGCAGAATTTTGACAGTATCCTGTCAGTCACAAAACAAACTTAGAGTCATACCTCCACTGCAATACAGTATGTATCAGAAACAAGAACTAATCCACAATGACCCAAGACATGATCACATAACTTTCTAGTTATATTATCTAATTCATTAAATTTTGTCTAGAATTGTTCCAATTAAGCACCTATGTATTCTATACATGCCAAAAGCTGCCTTCCCCTCCAAAACTACTTCTGTCAACAAGTGTCTAATATGCCAGAAACAGTGAACACATAAGAAAAAAAGTCATTCTTCATGAAACTTAATTTGGCAATTGTAGGTTGTCTGTGAGAAAGGAAGAGTTGGAGAAAGAAAAGAACTTAAAGCTTGCTGGGCATTAATCCCAGTACTTGGGAGGCAGAGGCAGGTGGATCTCTATGAGTTTGAGGCCAGCCTGGTCTACACAGCAAGTTCCTGGCCAGTTGGGGCTACAGGGAGAACCTATCTCAAAAAAGACACCACCCCCCAAAAAATAAAGCTCATACAAGAGTCCCCTCCCAACGCCCAGTGATCGAAAAACGGTAACTGGTAATTCCTGCCCAAATGTGTTAAACAGCAATAGCAGGGGCTAGAGAGATGGCTCGGGTTAAAAGCACTTGCTGTTCTAACAGAGGACCCAGGTTTGACTCCCAGTACCCACATGGTAGTTCCTGTCAGCTTCCTGTAGATTTTGAGGGCACACATACCAGTAAACATTAGGGCCATCAAAACACTTGTACAAAAAAAAAAAAAAAAAAAACAGGCCAGGCATGGTGGCACACACCTTAATGCCAGCACTCGGGAGGCAGAACCAGATGGATCTCTGTTGAGTTTAAGGCCAGCCTGGTCTACAGGCTACAACAGGAAGTTCCAAACAAGCTGGGGCTTCAAGGAGACCCTGTCTCAAAAAAAAAAAAAAAAAAAACGCAAAAAGTATAATTATTAAAAAATTAATAAACCTCAGCACCCACAAAATTAAAATGCAAACATTATAGTCATTCAATTTAGCCAGGTGTGGTGGTGCATGTTTTTAATTCCAGCACTGAGGCACAGGCAAGCAGATAAATCTCTGTGAGTTTGAGGCCAGCCTGATCTACATAGTAAGTTCCCAGCCACCCAGAGCTACAGTGAGAGCATATATCCTCCCCCCATGCCAAAGAATACTTTTAGACATTTTTGAAGACTATTCAATTGAAGTCACCTGATTTAGACCCAATCATAAGTATTTCTTCAAAAAATAAGTGTAGCAGGAGCTGGAGAAATGGCTCAGAGGTAAGAGCGCTTGCATTTACTATTCTTGCAGAGGACCTAAGTTTGGTTTCCAGCACCTGTATCAAGTGGCTCACAACCACCTGTAACTCCAGTTCTGAAGGGGATCCGAAGCTCTCTGGCCTCTGCAGCCACCTTGTGCACATGTGGTACACATAAACTCACACAGGCACAACACAGAAGCATAAATAAAAATAAATCTTAAATATGAGTGTGGGGGGCTGGAGAGATGGCTCAGAGGTTAAGAACACTGACTGTTCTTGCAGAAGACCCAGGTTCGAATCCCAGCACCCACATGGCAGCTAACAACTGTCTGTAACTCCAGTTCCAGGGGATCCAAAAGCCTCTTCTGTCTTCTGTGGGCATTGCATGATGTGGGTGCACTTACGTACATGTAGGCGTAACACTCATACACATGAAATAAATATTAAAATACGTGTGTGTGTGTGTGTGTGTGTGTGTGTGTGGTGCATGCCTCTAATCCCAGCACTTGGGAGGCACAGGCTGGTGGATCTCTGTGTGTTTAAGGCCAGCCTAGTCTACGTAGTGAGTTCCAGGCCAGCTGGGGTCTACAGGGAGACCCTGTCTCAAAAAGAACAACAAAAAAAAAAGTATCAGTCAGGCATAATGGCACATGCATGTAATCCTAGCACTCAAAAAGATGAGGCAAGAGGCTCAAAAGTGTGTATGTACAGACGCCTGTTTGGGGGCATATAACTCAATGGTACAGTATCTGCCCAGCCTGTGCATACCTGAGAGTTCCATCCCCAGCACTGAAGGAAAAAAAAAAAAAAAAAAAAAATGACCACAGAAACCTTTCTGTTACAATAAGCAAAATTTCTGCTTTTACAGTCTCAATATCTTTATAAGGACTGGCTCTTAACTCAAAGATTAGGATACAGTGACTTGTACAAATTTATGAACATACACTTGCCTCAAGCTCATTACATGGGTCATCATTAAGAAGCTGTGTCTGGGGACTGGAGAGTTGGTTCTGCAGTTAAAAGCACTGGCTACCCCTGCAAAGTACCCGGGTTCTGTTCCCAGCACCCACATGGTGGCTAACAACTATCTGTAACTCCAGTGCCAGGGGATCTGACCCCCTCTTCTGGCCTCCATGGATACTGCATGACTCTGGTGCACTTACAGACATGCAGGCAATACTGATACACATAAATAATATTTTAAAAAAGGAATCTGTGTCTGCACCAATTCAAACATCTACCAGAACTTTTTCCTAATTCCTCTATTAACAGGATGAGGAGACAGTGGTAGGCTTTAGTCTTTTTAAGTAGGCCTTCCCTTCACTTAGGCATTTCAGCCATTTAAACACAAAGCCTATCACACACATCTGGAAACAAGTTCTCTAAGTTTTAAGGGGGAGAGGCACTTTTCTCCAAGCTGCACCTCACTGCTGCTGTTAAATGTCAATAAACCTACTTCCCCATATGCAGCACATACTCAGGGTTCAAACTCTGTATGTCAGTCAAGACAGATTTCTTTTTCTGGAGTAGGGGAAAGAGTAGGGATGTCCACTGGGTCAAGCCTGAATGATATTAGAGTGTTTTGTTTTTGTTGCATGGTGGGGGTGGCAGTGTATTGGCCATGCACAGTCTCTTTTTAAGTAGCCTTGGCTGCCCTAGAACTCACTATGTAGAAAAGACTGGCCTCAAACTTGTGGCAATCCTCCTACCTCTGCCTCCCAAGAGGTGGACTACAGGGTTATGGGAATGACCTTTACCTAACCTTGTAACCAAGGTTAATCTTAAATTTGGAGAGGTTTCACACTATCTCGGTTTATTTATAATACAAAGACTCATCATCCTAGGCCTTGGGCTTCTCCGGTAACCTAAACATATAACCTTAATCTTTCATGAGCCCCTCCTTGCTCCTGATCCAGAAAAATGTAGTGAGTGTAAGTGTAGTGCAGGTGCACACACCATTTATATTGCAAACAACAGGTAGGATTAAACTGATAATGTTTGTTTCTGGTTGTGGACACTTTCTTGGTCAGTAGGGTTCAGATAGCAAAAATCCTTTGATATACAGATTCCCAGTTCCTTCCCCATATCATGCTAGAGGGACTGAGTAAAGAGAGCAAGGCCTTTGTTCAAGGGAACCATTCTGTGAGCACAGTACCAAGAGAAATCTGAAGGAACAAACCTCAGAACATACGGGGTCCCATCACTGGTTTTAATGGATGCTAAAAGGCTGATTTTGTTTAGGCATTGCTATAATATAATATAACACTGCACCACTACACAGGTTCCTACCACCAGGTCCAACAAGAAGGCACATCAAGACAATCATAATGTGACAGAAGAGAATGCACACACAAACATGTAACCATGCACGTGCATATGTACCTGCCCCTCTTTAATCAGACACACAAGATTAGATTAGTCTAGGGCTGTACATAGTGACACACACCTTAAATCCCAGCACTAAGGAGGCAGAGGCAGGCAGCTCTCTTGTGCGCTTGAGGCCTACAGAGTGACGGGGGCGGGTCCTTTCCAAGATTCCAACGTAAAAAATTTTTCTCAAAAAAATTTTTTCATTGCTCAACAATAATCATTAAAATGTCTGCAGCATCTAAAAAAAATTTTCATTTTGTATTTATTTTAAATAATTTATTGAGAATTTCATACATGCATGTAAGGTGTTTCATCTCAAAAATTTGAAGGTGGTACACACCTTTAATCCTAGCACTTGGAGGCAGAGGCTGGTGGATCTCTCTGAGTTTCAGGCCAGTCAGGACCACACAGTGAAACCCTGTCTCAAAAAAAAAGGAAAAAAAATCTTTCATCTCTAATTGTGCAGTTTTCAAGACTGGCACAATAAAAGGGTTGATACATGAAAAAAAGGAGGGGAGGGGGAATGCTGTGTACTATAGCATGCATGTGGAGATCAGAAAACAACTTACATAGGTCAATCCTCTTTCCACAATGTGGGTGGCAGAAAACCAACTCAGGTTATCAAGTTTAGCAGCAAATACCTTTACCCATTCAGCCATCTCACCAGCCCCAGATTTAACACTCTATGTGTGCGCACGTATGTACACATGTGATCAGTCACCCATGCACATAATGGTGGAGACAGAGGTTAACTCAGGTGTCATTCTTCATGTACTAGCCACCCTTTTTTTTTTCCTGAGACAAGGTCTCCCACTGGCCTGGAACCTGCCAAGTAGGCTAAGCTGGCTGGCTAGCCTGCAAGACCCAGGGATCCACCTCCCCAACGTTTCTGGGTATTAATCTGAGGTCTTCATGTTTACAAGGCAAGCACCAATCTCTCCAGCTCCTAAATAATTTAAAATATGTAATAAACAATGAAAATTGTTCAAGCCAGGCATGGTGGCGCACACCTGTAGTCCCAGCACTTGGGAGGCAGAGGCAGGTGGATCTTTGTGAGTTCAAGGCCAGCCTGGTCTACATAGTAAGTT